TTAGTTTCAAGGAAGTGATGGACTTATTACTACGGATTTCCCACCCCGTATGCGATGTTACCATTTATTTAATTAATAGCGTCGGGTTACTATGTTGTTGAACTGATATAATACCATCGAACCGCTGATATCTACCAAGAAATAGCTAAGTTGATCCAGTTTACTTTTGGGTAAATGAGACTAACCCTAGCTGCTCACCTACAAAAAATGTTTAACTCAAAATAAAACACGGAAAGCCTGGGGGACGCTATTATTATTTCAAGATTACAACTTAGATTAAGAAGCTCTTATTAGACAGCTTTTCACGAAGCTCAGCTTCCTCTAGTCCTTTGACCTGCTAAGTTCCGAGTTCTAACTAAGGCCGGATAGAAACAGAATAGTTGTTCTAAAGTCTCATTTATGCCAACCTCTCTGCACTTTCTACCTGTGTTACTGCTGCTAATGCCCAGTCCGCTTGCATGAGATGCCAGTAGGTTGTGACCTTGCGCTCCTTAAGTGAGCGTGTAGCGAGAATTACTTTCGTTTATGATCTTGAGGGTTTTGGATGTTGCTAATGCGTTTCATCTCACCCTGTTTCAACACCCTTCTTATTGGATACTATTCGATTGAAATTGGATATAAAGAAATTCTTTTACTTTTTCCAACTTCTAACTTCATTTACAATCATCTCTGAAATTTGTATTGTATCTGCGGCACCTCTAGTTGACTGCCTTCGCTTTTTCCATACTGGACCTGGCAGAGAAGGGAATGAAAAACTATCAACCATGTGATATCTTATCCATCCAGACCACAATGAGGTATTTGCCTTTCCCAAGTCGAAGAGGACCATAAATCTTACACAAAATCTTTCTCTCAAAAACTCTAACACAGCTGTTGACATCCGCCATGCCTCCTAACCATAGAGTTGGATGGAAGCGCTGAACGACTTGAAGAGTTTGGTCTTGGTTCGTCGAGAGAGACATTTACTTTTCAATTCCCTACTCAGTCCAAAGTAGCATCTATTGGCAAGAGTGAATCTGCATTGGATTTTCAGGCTGACGTTATTATTGGTGTTGGTTTCTACAATAGATAGATGAAATTAGCTACGTTTTCGAAGTTGTGACTGTCAACAGTGAGTCGCGTCGCGAATGCGATGACTGTTTGTTTGATGACAGGAGATATTTTGTCTTGCCATCGTTCACTACCAGACCAATTCGCTACGCTTCCTTTTCAAGCCAGGAAAAGGCAGAAATCACGGCATCGATAACTAAAGTACGGCTCTTTTGTAGCTTTGACGCAATATAATGGAAGTTACTACTAATCTTTTTACTTCTCGCTGACTTTTCATTTGAATTTTCGGAGGCACTGAGATTTACAAAGGACCCTAAGTGCTTTCATAAAACTGCCTTAGTAAAAAAATTTGCAATTATTTATTTATTCTGAGTTTACTTTGATTTTTTCTCGTTGTTAGAGATTTTGTATTTTTTGTTGTATTTATTTTTTTTTTGCTGAGAAACTACAAAAGTTGGTGGGTGTAGGCTGCTGTTGACTGACTAGTGACAGCTTTATGACAACGTGGTCACTATGGCAGCAAAATATATATATATATATATATATATATATATATACGACTGTTTTCATAGCTTTGTGTACTATGCATTTACTTACATGCATACATACATCCGCATACATGGGTAGAAAAAAAGGGCGTTGCATAAATGTAGAATTTTTTAAATATTCCTAAATTTTTGTTATCGGCAATAAACAAAATTTGTGAATGTTTCACACATATATATAAAAAAAATATAAAAATATGTAACACGAAATTATGCATATTAAGCTGAAGCAGTGAATTGAAAAATTATAAAAAAAAAAAACAGAATGAATTTCGAGAGTTTTCATATCTGATTTTTTTTTATTTGTTGCCATCTACACTTACAGTATGACGCATTTTCGTTTCAGTAAAACATTCTTATTTCAAAACCACCTTCAAAATATTCACTTTTGTATGTGAATTTGCAACCTTTTGAGAATAAGCCACAACCTAATGCAACATGAATGAGCGCACTTAATACTTAGACGCCTTTGCACTGCGAACAAATGCCTGCACTCGAGCAATTTTGCTAAAAGCCATGGCATTATTTTCACACTTACACATACACACTGCCAGCTTATACACACTTTGACTGCACACTGCCACAACACCCACCCACGCACGCATTTTTCTACAGTTCTTAATGCATTGCAACAATAAATAAAACTTTTGTTTAGGCAAAACGATGGTACTTATGGAAATTAGAAAAAAAAGAACTGATAATAGCAGTGATAATGCGAAAATGCGAATGTGTGGGAAGCAGACAAACTCAGGTGTACATATTTATTTATGTAGATATGTATGTACGTAAATTCAAATTTAAGTAAAACGAACCAGTCGTTAAAAAGCATGAATATTTAGATTTTGCATAGCTATGTTTTCGAAGATACAAAAACAAAAAACACAAATTTGCATTTGTTGGTAATATATTTTTGCGTGTGTTTATAGTAAATCTATTATTCTCAAACTATGGGTTCTCAAGGAAATTGTTGTCATAGGCTTAAGCACTAGTCAAAAAAAAACTTGCATGCGATAAATCTATAATTTTTTTCGTCGAGAGAGAGAGCAGTTTCTTTTGGAAAATTTTAGTAGTGTTTGTAAGTTTTCTTCCCAAAGCAATGAACTCAATTTTAATAAAACGCATAAAATTTCTTAAGAAAGTACAAAATCGGAGATTGTCCAGAATTTAATTGAATTTTTTAATAAAGCAAATGAAATTTAGAGTCTGCTAAGCAAAAGGAACAGCTGATTCGAGTATTACCAAGTAGCGATAAAACTTATCAAGCTTGTCAGACTACTACTTTGTTAAACTCCATGCAAAGGTTAATCTGTTAATTTTACAAAAACAAAATAAACATACGCAAATACCAGATTAACGAAATAAAAAAGTCGTTGTTAATATCCCTATGATGTATATACTATATTCATAAAATTTGTAAAGGTTCAGACCACACACATACCTGTTTCCGATCAATAAAACAAATGCACTATCTTTCCAAATTATTCGAACGAAGTGATACCAGAATACGAATTTCGAATTGTTAATTAATTATAAAGACATTCGGGCTCAACGAGTATTGTATTTGTTCGACAATACTTAGCAAAAAGATCTTCTACACTAAATTTATAAAACATACATTCACATTTCGCCCACAAACATGTCCTGCAATTACATTAAACGGCATAAATATTCCCCAAGCAAACGATGTAACATATCTCGGCACTATACCTAAATAGAATTATAGGTGACAAAATATTACATATGACATTGTTGTTGTTGTAATTGCAAAATATTGCGTTAGCAACAGTACTTGGCCGGATAAAAAATACTGGTTGTTCTGGCATAAAGGCCCGACTGTCGCAGGAACTATTGGATTTTATCGCCCCTTACGACAGACATGCCTTACCGCGGGTAAATTCCTAAGCCCCTGTCTCGCAGGGGAGGGTCAATTAAAAGGAGCTAGTTTGAAATGAGTTTTATACAAGAGCAATAGCATCCTCAACAATATCGCCTATAGAAAATATCGGTTTCAGATATAGTATATTTCGAAGCTCGAAAGTGAATGCAGCTATTTTACGCAAGACGAAGCTATTTCAGCCTTCCATCTCGGAAACCATTAAGCAACGGTCAGGAAAGATTTCGATTCTATACTATTAGCGATCGATTTATTGTTCCAATAAAAATGGAAATTTCGAACTATAGCTAGAGTATTTTCATATTCTTGAAATTATTGGTCATCTAAGGTGTCTTGTAGAAGAGCTGGGAGTTTTGTGCACAGTTCTAAAATTATTGACCAAGAATATAAAACGTTCTCTCTGTCTTTGTCTCTGGCGAGAAGAAGAGTGAGCGACTTAGATCACTTTTCTTAAAATATATTCATATATAAAGCTTTGTCAGCTCAAACCACTGGCCGTAGAGATCTGATACTTGGCGGGTATATGTTTGCCGGAATTGATATAGGGAACCTTTTTTCTTCCGAAAAGTGGATCTATTAGAAAACTTTGTATTTATCGCTTGATTTAAATAAAAGTTGGGTACAGTTATAGCATGAGAACTTTTTTTTTGCGGGGCAATGACCTGGAAATGATTCGATAGTTCGCCTTTGCTTAATTTGTGGAAATAATATTATAATCAAATTATAACGAATTTAATAATGTAATAAATCAAATAAATGTTTTTAGAATCATCTATAAGTTCCGCGTCAATTCCATTTTTAGTCATCTTTATATTAAAATTTCATGAGAAAAATTTCGTGTCAAATGTAATCACTTTTGCTCCTACCTGAAAGTGTGGTTTTCACTCTTAAGCCTAGAATTTCCTCCATGACTAAGTTAAGAAAGTCGTAAGAACCTTCAAATATTTAAAAAAAAAATTTGGAAAATTTTACCGGATGTCTTTGTGGATTAAAGCATAATTGGAAGAACTTTGAAGCCCCTTATTAAATAGAAACAAAACGTTCTCCCACAAATATGCAACATTTTATGGACTTTTTAAAAAAGATAGATGAGCTTATGCAATACAGTTGACAGTAAAAAATGTTTGTCATTTACTCCTTCTCTTCTTCATGATTGGTAAAAAAAAAAAACGGCAGCTTATGGACATTTACCAAAACCAAATGCCATTCGCACAGAAAAGTCGTGTAAAGGGCGACATTAGAAAATAAAGCCTGTCTTTAAACTGCACTCAAGATGCTAAGTCATACACACGGGACTACTTAGTGTCTCAAAGGTGGGCGCAAAGTCTAGGCTAAGTCTCACTAAATCTATATCATACTAAGAGCTTACTCTTCAAATAAACTAATGAGGCTTTAAGTGGAGGCATTGTTGTCGTGGCAACATTGCTAGTAAATATAGTACATACGAGTATAAACAACAACATTTTATTACATATACCTTTTGTGAATTTAACTTTTTAACTTCGACTTACATCATCATCCGAGCTCGTGTCATACGGCAAATGATTGTTCTGTAGCTCCACCGCTTGTACGCGATGATGATCACGTGTCACTCGCGAGTGTTCCGTTTGATATTCGGAGTTCATTCGCTGTTGTTGTTGATGTTGAATGTGTTGGGGTTGGTGTTGGTATTGACGCCGCTGACGTTGCTCTTGATAATGCCGTATTTGTTGTTGTTGTTTTTGTTGTTGATGATGCTCCTTCTTGCTGGCGTACCAATCCGGCTCAATGCCACTGTCATAGCCACCATAGCTAAAGCCGCCAATATCAGGGGCAGCAAGTGTATGTTGCTCAGCGGCTGTGAACTCATCATCGACAACATAATCATAATACTCAATACCATCGTCATCATCATCATCATCAGCAGCCGCATTATCATCAGCGGCAGCATCAGCGTCAACACCAGTCGCATAATCGCTCGCTTTGTCGCTGCTGCTGCTGCTGCTGCGGTGAGGGTCTACCTCTGTCGTGAGGCCTTTAACCGATTCTGAGCTCATCTTAGTCGTCTTATTCTCCTTACCAACACCACCACCGCCTACTGCGGCCACGGCTGGTGGTTGCTCATGCGCTTTGGCCGTCACGTTATCTCCGTCATCATCAGTGTCTACGTTAATTTGACTGCCGGCGTGTACCAGTTTATTATGCGTCTTATGAGTCGGCAATGGCGGTTGATCCCAATGAACAGATGTCATAGTGTGTTTTGAACGACTTAAATCTGCTGCTGGCTGCAGCTTATGGTGTTTATAACGTACTTGCTCTCGTGCCTGCTGCTGCTGTTGTTGTTGTAGATGTATTATCGGTTGTTGGTAATAATTTTGCGTGCCTTTGTTCACCTCATCAAGCTTGATTGTATTGCGTTCGGCGCTTTTTGTTGGATGCGAAGTCGGCTTAACCAGTTCCATTGTCTGCGCAGTTGTCCTCGCCTCAGATACTATTGGCAAGGCATTATTGTTGGTTGTTGACATCGTAGACGTTGTAGTTGTTGCTGTTGTTGTTGTAGTCCTTGACTTTTGTGCGTGATGCTTGTGATGCAAATGCGTGCGTATCGAATTAGGCTCCAACTCGAGTTCGACGCCAGACAGCTTTTGATGTTGCAGATGTAGGCGTTCCACCGATCCGTATTGGGCGCCGAATTTTGTTGATTTGTGTTGTTGTTGTTTGTGTAAGTTTGAGGCGTGAATAAAGTTCAAACTTTCAGTTGCCTCGTCACTACCCACCAACGCTGCCGCCCGTGATGATGCCAAAATTTCTGCAGCACTTTCGCTTACACCCGGTCCGCCCGCCAGCTCAACGTGCGGCTGCTGATTATGCCTGCCGTGATGTGCTGATTTACGCATGTGATGCGAAGTTCTATGACGCACGTGATGTTGCTGCAACAGATTTTCGGGAACGCCAACGTCAGCGGTGTGGGCAAATGTATGGGCTGCCGCATGTTGCTGTTGCGGCGCATCATAATCATCATTATAGCCGGTGGTGGCTAATGGCTGGGCAATCTGTAAGCTGCAACAAAGGTAGGTGAGCGCTACAGCGAGGCTCAGAGTTGATGTCTGGTGATGCATGTTTAGTGTTTTTCACGTGAAATGGCAGGATTGTTGGGGTACTGGAAGCAACCGAATGCGGAAAAGACTCGTTTTATTGGTTTATTGGTTAATGAATGAATGCTCTTCACACGTTTTCACTTGAAATTCTCGCCTCATTCACTTTTATGCACAGATACCTATGTATATATGTACAGATCTTTGCTTATTTAAATTTTTATGGTGTTGGAATTTTCACTTTTTCACACCTAACAGCTGCTGCTTTATTTACGAACGTCTGCGTTTCATTTCACTGTAGTCAAACAAACCTACAAACATACATACAGACATAAATGTATACATTAATTTAAACATTCAATATTTGCTAAGAACATTTTTATGTCAAAATTAGCTACTTTTAAAAGGTTCATTGATTTCTATGTGTGTGTGTTTGCTTGTGTTTACATACATCTTTACTAATATGCACGGGAATACTTCGATGTGTAAAGAACTATACGAGGGTGGTTCAAAGAGTACTAATTTAAAAACATTTAAAAATTACCATTACAAAAATCTACTCCGAAAGTGACCGTCAAGATTCTGAAAAGTTACTCTACTTAAATCGGATAACGGTAACCGTGAATTCTTCAATCGCATTTGCCATCCTCTCTGTATTTCATCTAGGTAAGACAGAAACTAGCCGTAGGGAAAGATATGACCCTTCAAACAGGTAGAAGCCGGCTACTTGCAAAGCTTTGGTTCAAAAGTTGGCTGATGGAAAACGCTCTCTCAATAGAGAAAAACAAACTTAACGATGCAAGCCTCCACTAGGATCACTAATTCCGATAACATTTGAGGGCGCTGGACAGTCTTAGGCAGCTGACGATGACAGCATCTCGCTAGTAATACTCATTTGAACCATCTTGCCTTTATTTTCTTTTCCGTCTGACCAGGAATCTAGCATAGAGCTGCCATAACAGTTTGTTAATTGCCTCCTTGCCTGCTCTCACACATATGAGATTTGCATTGAGACGTAACCCATAGCTTCACCTCAATCTTCCTAGGCGTCCGCTTTGATATAATTTCTACAAATAGAGTCATCCAAAGTTTCATAAAGCCTCAGAATGTTTGTTGAAAGGATTGTTTCAGAAATCAGGGCGACACTTCAAGAAGGACCCTTTAAACTACACGGATGTAAGTAACGGATCTAATCGTGTCATACAAAGAGAGTCGGACAACATCTCCCTACACCGCATATCTCTGACCATTGCAAACAAAGAACTGGTATGGATCTAAATTGGGAGTGATTAAAACAAAGGTTATCCCTACCATTATAGGAGTATTGACAGACATCTGTATAATAGGACCACATGCCGAGAAGCTAAGAGCCACCTTTAGAAAGTGCTGTACGAGATGTAAGAACGATCTAGAGGGGAAAAAGATATTTTCCCATTTACTATATTCAGGCTAAGCGATCTTGCAACCGATCTTCTGAGGTTTATATGATATCCCATGTGAAGGAGAGGTGTTTACCTTTACTGTAACAATAACTGCGTTGCAAGCAGAATAAATGTCTATTGTTTCTAGTACGTTAACGTAATATAGGCAGTCATAAAAAATCTGATGTAATCGACTCGGTAAAGAACTCCTACATCCCTCAACGAATATGTTATAAGCTGAAATCTTGTCTGAACTAACTTTTTGGAACCTTTCCGATGTCATTTCTGTATTTTCACTACACGAATTCCTTTATGCGGCGGGTCTCTCGCTCAGCGCTAAACAAATTTAAGTAAGGTGTTTATTTATTTATCAAGTAAACTTTTGCCCAAAAAAGGTTTCTGGATCTAAACACAAGCGCACTTATCGGACAGACGCTTCGTTAAGTATCGAGCGGTAGGTTAAGTCGGGTGCTGAAGACTCCTCTTTTTTGGCCGTGATACAAAACTCAAAATGGGAATTTTTTCGGCATCTTACACCAGAGTTCCTTACCGCACCAGAATGGGCGAACAATGGCTAGGGTGGCTACGAAATATGATCCGGAATTATGGTTCTAAGCACTTCAGCTCAGAAAATTTTAAATATGGCAAATAACTGGTGGAAGCTGAAGTAGAAGAAGACTCCAGACCGGTTTAAAAAATAATAAGATGTGGATGGATCTTCAATTGGTGTCTGCATTCCGGGACACATACAGACAAGAGGAAGGGACTGACGTTAGACGTATTGACTTGGTTTCTCCGCTTAAACAAGGTCAACACCAACGAAGGATTGCATATCATCAGTAGATCTTCGACCAATTTTGGGACAAGTTTATTGAACCAGGATTGGGGATGAAAGATTTAATGTAACATTTCTTATGATTTCCTCATAAGATCGGCTTGCCTTTGGACAACCTTAATGCCTGCACCACATACATAACTTCATGCGCATGTTTCCTATCAATTCCGTGCACATCATTGCTTTTCGAACACGCAAATGTACATTATATTGTAATAAAGCCTTCTTGCTTTTGTGTTATCTTCTCTGACTTCGACCAAGTCAATTTGGCCTACGGCTGCTACAGTGCCGGACCTCTAACAGTTGAGAAGTCGTTAAATACTGCTAAATCGTAGTCATTAAGGCAATCTTTAGCAACGTCTAACAACGCCAATTACCAGCAGCACACAATTATTGTGGAGTTTTTTTTTATCTATTTTCCAGTTGCCATTTTTCCCTGGTGAGTGGAGCAGTAGTAACTCTTGCCACTTGCAGATATCGGCCGGTCGCTCGGTCGCGCAGTCTGTCGGTCAATCTCTCTGGACGTTAATTCTATCCAAAATACAATATTTGCATAAACACTTGCTACATATGTACGTACATACACATATATATACGAGCAGATGTACACTTGCTTGCATATAAAGTCTCGCCTTATTAATTGCCTTGTCAGTGGCGCGCTGTCAGCCGTCAGCCGAGAGCCGCTGGTGTTACGGCTGGTGCTGTTACTGTGTCTGCTTCTGCTGCTGCCTCCAGTTTAGCATTTAGCACGCTATTAAGCAACGCGCAGGGTAGGCATAATGGCCGGAGGGGTGAGGCAGATTGTATTTTGCCAGATTGCGCGCTCCTGCTGATTTTGCTGCTGGGGCTGTTGCTAACGGCTGCTGATTGACCCAATTAATGCAGAATTTTGCGATCCGTATTAGCGAGTTGAACAGCTTCGTCTGCGTCTTCTTTTTTCTTTGCTTGTTCCTGCCAAACATACGAACACAAAGGTAAACAAAACATTTCAAAGTTTAATTGTTTACACATTTGTTTAAAATTTATAATTAAAAAATTCTAACGCAAGCACTTGTTTTGGCATGTACTGAAAGGTATGCGTTGTTCGGTGGACACCCCGTGTGGTTGTATAGGCATATATGTATGTAAATATATAGTCAATAGCGATGCTCCAAAATGTCAGATCGCTGTTGAGCCTTTTAAATTTGATTTATCCGAGTCGAGTTATTTTGAAAAGAGCCGGAAGTCAGCGCTCAGTAAGCAAAACTAGAAGAGAGATAATTACTACGAATCTTGAGAACAGTAGGTTGTAAGGTCAATCCACATGCCTTAAAGTTAGATTTATTCATTTGCGTCACCGACGAGAGATCCTATTCGTACGCCCCAGTGTAAGCGGTTTGTTAATACACCGGAAAAAGTATGTCTATAATAAGAAGTGACTTAAGTCTAAAGTAGTCTATGGCAGTCGAGAATTTTTACAGTAAACCCCGGGATCTAATTCTCTGAAGATAGTGATGAAATGAAGAACTAGAGACCTTTTTTATATTGGTTTAAGATTGAAAGGAATTTCGAGCTTTTCGTAACCCAACATTTTCTAAATGGTTCTCTTGAACCAAATCTATCAGCTTCTGTAAATTTTTATAATCGTATAGGCAAAAACAAAATCACATATTCGGCGCCTACATGCAGTTAGTTCCGTTACATCTCTAACAAAAAAAACATGTCTATATATATGCACATCTATAAACTGGCAAGTAGAACAAGTTTATTAAAAACCCAAAAAAAACAAACTTCGAGTGATAATAACTAATGCAAAAATGTTTATTACGAGTACTTGTTTGAAATTTATTCACTCTCTCATCTCACATGCTAACAAAGATATAAACACAAAATGTGTATTTTTTAATTAATTTGACGCAAAAATATATATAACACAGCAAACATACAAAATACTTGTATAGCATACATAAATATAAATATATATATATATATATATTCAAAAATGTAGATGATATATATATATATATATATATATGTATGGACGCACTCGATTAAAGGGGAAATTTCAAAAACACAAATTTTGCACTTTTTCTTAATTTGTTTACTTTTGGTTCCCATTTGTGCTAATTTATATATTTTTATTTTTATGATATTTTTATTATGTGTAAATTATCGGCGCTTTTATTTAAGTACGCTTTGTATTTCTCACATCTGTTATAAATTTATTTTATTAGCTTGAATTGTATTTAATTATCGTTAATTTTGTTTTAGTTTATTTTTTATTTCACATTTTTTTAATTAGTTAGATTTATTTTGTTTAAATTAATTTAATGTAATTTTTCTTTATATTCAATTAACATCATTTTATTTTAAGTTATTTAAATGCCTTTATTATAATTATTATTATTTTGTTTAAATTTAATATTCTATGATATTTCATCTTTTTACTTAATTTAATTTGGTTTAAACAAATAATTTTCACTCAATTAAATTTTGTTTAAGTTCAATTTATTTAACTTATTTTTATTTGATATTAAAATATAATTTTAATTTGCTTATTATTTCATTTATTTTATTTTATTTATAATTAGTTTTTATTCCATTAAAGATTCCATTAGCTTTAATAAATTTATTTTAGCTTCATTTTATTTCATGTAATGTAAAGTGCTTTGACTTACGATAATTAATTATTATTATTTTATTATATTTTTACTTTGCTTATTTTTTATTTTCTTGGAAATTTTTATTTTTTTCTTAATTTTTTAATTTTGAATTTATTTCGACTTAATTTATTATTCAATTATATATGATGTTGTTATATTTTCTCTCATTTTTTCTAAAGTTTTTTGTTTTATTTTTTATTTGTTATTGCTAAATTTTATTCCAGCTTTTTGATTATTCAAATTAACATTTTTAAATACTTTTCGATTGGACTGAATTTAATTACATTCATGTTGACTTTATTTTATTATTTTTTTTTATTTAATTTAGGTTTAATAAATCCTATTTGACTTATTTTTATTTTTAATATAAAGTCATTTCAGTTGCCGCAATTGAATATAGCTTATTTTATTTAATTTTAATTTTATTTTACTTTATTTAATTTTTATTGTTTTTTTTTATTTTCAATTACTTTATTTTTTTATAACATATTAGACTATTTTATTTTACTTTATTTCAATAATCAGTAGCTTCGTTTACCTAAAGTGAATATTACTTATTTTATTTTGTTTTATTTTTTTTAGTTGCTTGATTATTTTAATTTTTTTATTTCTATTATTATTTCTTTTTTTTAATATATTTATGATTATTTTATTTTACTTTATTATATTATATTACATTGTTTTAATTTATTAAATTTTATTTCATTTTCATTGAATTTAAAATTATTTCATATTTTTATTCTAATTTACTTGCTTTTGTTCAATTTTTATTTTTAAGTAATTGAATATGATTTATATTTTTATTTCGTTTTACTTTTTTTATGTTTGCTTGCTTATATTAAAATTTATTTTCTTTTTTTTTTTGTATAATTTTATTTCTTACATAATTTATGGTTTTATTAAATTTATTTGTGCTTTATATTTTTTAATGACTTATTTTTTAATTGTTTATATTTATTATTTAATTCTTTTCAATCCTATTGCAGTTATTTAAATTTATGTTGGCTTATTTCTATTTACTTTGTTTTCATGTAATTCAGTTCCATCAATTTTATTTTAACTTTATTTTAATTTAATTAATATACAATAATTTTTTTTTTTTTTTAACTGCGCATTATTTATTTTATTTTATTCATATTTCATTTTTCTTGATTATATTTTATGATAGTTTGTTTTGTTTTGTTGAAAACTACTTGATTTTATTTCGTTTCCCTCTTTTTACCTTTTTTCTACTTTTATTTCATTTAATTTTTCTTTATTATAAATATTTTGTGTTATTTTTTTTACACTTTTATCAGTTTGTCTTATATTTTTTAGAGGAAATTTTTTATTTCACTAATTTAATTCCTTTTTTAATATACATATGTTAATTTAATTCAGTTTAATTTTATTGAATTTAATTTTTTTTATTTTATGTTATTTTTAATTTACTATTTTTTGTTAATTTTATCATGTTTTATTTTATTCCTAACTTTATTTTTTGGATTTATTAAATTTTAATATTTTTACTATTTTTTTTTTTATTTTGTTTCATGAATCCACATTTTAAATGTTTCCTTTTCTGATCTTTTAATACCTCTAAATTAGCGGCGCTTTTCTTGCAGAAGTCTTGTGCTTCTCACATCTGTTTGAGATTTTATGTGTTTTAAGTTTTTAATTTATTTGTTTTAAGTTTTGCAGTCTCTCTAGTCCAGTGAGTTGCCAATTTCGAAGAACGACTACGAGTCAAGGCATATGTACATCTGACGCCCACTTATTTAAAATTGTCTCACGGACCACTTGTGCACGGTGCGGCATCTTCAGTTGAAAGCGCCCAAACGATTTTTATCTGTTTGTAATGACTACTAGTTGCTGTTGTTTGTTGTTTTATTTATTTTTATTTTATTTTTTGTTGAAAAATATATTCTGAACGTTGCCAATTTGACCACGCGTTCTAGCCGGCTGCCACCTGATTGCTTGATTGTCACTAGATGCTACTTGTAGTATGTGCCACACTGGCATTGCGAGAACTGCTGGTCGTATTTATGGATGTTTTTCTGCGTAGATATGTACATACATGCATATGTATGAAGTAGCACATTTCTTTTATTTTTTATGCACAAATCAATTCACTCATAACAAGTTCACATGCAAATGTGTAAGACGAGTAGGCTGTTGCAATATCTATGCATATAGTATTTTCAGCATGTATGTATGTATGTATGTATGAACATGTGAGAAAATGTGCACTTGTAAATATATTGGCAACAATACGGATATATTTATTGGACGTTAAGGTGAAGTTCAACGCGCATTCTAGACTCATTTCTCTCCCTAACGCAGGGATTTAAATTTTATTCGAAACACTTTTAGTATATCAGTTTTTGCGCTTTATCTAAAGTTCTTTTTTTCCTGCATACGCGTTTTGCACAACGAACAGCGTACGAGTATGTATGCATGTGTGTATGAATTTGCACTGTGAACCGGCACATAGCATGTTTTCCTGCAACGCGCTCTTACCGCCTCTACTTGCATATATTTTTCACATCGCGTGCAAGAATTTTCTTAGACGATGTATGAAAAAAATTACGTTTTTTCACTTTCATTATTGCGTTTGTCTGACAAGCCACGACAGCTGGCTTTTTGCCTTTTCCTTGATGCTTTCAAATTAAGAATATAAAATATTAATATTTTATTTTTTTAATAATTTTTTTATTTTTAAATATTTTTTTTTGGTCAAGTGCCATCACATCACCATAAACACTCGCCGGCAAACTGAACGCACGTAAACGGTTTGAAAGCAAAATATCAAATATACAATTTTAATATGATAAATTTCGAATTTTCGCCAAGCGTTTCACCGTTCGTATGCGCTGTACGCGTTGTTGCCTCGCTCGCTGTTCTCGCGTGTCTGTCGCACACGGCGCATGTGTTGCCGCCAGCTGGTTGTGGAGGCACCAAACAACCAACCGATCAACCAACAACAGTCACAGCCACAGTCACAGTCACAGTCTGTGCTGATCGTGTCGTCCAACGTTGTCGGAGTCGCCGGCGACAGAGCCGGTATAAAGACGTACGACGTACGACGATCTACGACAAGACGATTATTGATATTAGCGTTTGGTTGTTGGAGCTCATACGTGTGAGCTGTGTCGGCGTCGGCGCATCATCATATTTACAATGAATATAATAATGAACTGGGTAATAAAGAGTATCATCTTCTTCATCTTCATCATTATCATTTTGTTGTTCGACATCGCCAACAACAATTATATTCATAGCATTCGTAAATGAGTTTTTCTTAACTCTTTCAGACAGTTTCGTTTGATACTCAGCGCCACAGCGTCGAAAAGCCGTATGGGCACAGCTGTTGTGGTGGCATTGCGTTGTCTTCTACTTCTTCTTATTCCTTCACTTTTACTTGGTTCTACAATTAACGTTGAAATCTTGCAAAATCTTTTTTAAATTTTCTCCTGATTTTTCGAAGCAAAGCTATGTACATATGTATGTATGTGTTCATTTGCGTTGTATTGATGATCATTGATAGCTCATCGTGACCAGCTGTTCACACAGCACTCTCCCATTGTTCAATACGACTTGGTATAAAATTGCTCCAATTTCAGTATTCATACCCTTTAATTATAGCACGATGGTACACTTGTATGCATGCATATATGTACATATATTCGTACGTGTGCATACGTTTGTGTTCAAGTGTGCATATGAATTTATTAGAGAATAATAAACTAAAAACGTGTTGGGAATTCCCCTGCTCAAGTTCTGGAATGTGAATTATTTTCCACATTGTGGCAAAGCAGTGCCATCTATGTAATATACATACATACAAATATATTTATATCATATAAATACATATACGAGTAAGCTGAAATGTCTGCTTCGGAAATTAATTTCATTTGATTTCGCTGTCAAAACGATCATTTATTTCAATATTTTCGAGTGCCGATCGTAACGATTTTTATTAATGAAACAATAACGCCGCCAATTTAAAAGTTTTATATTATTAATCATAGCGTATTTAAACATTTATGACCATAAATATATATTTACAGCGAATTGTTCTTGAATTTTTATTGAAACTGAAAGTGATCATAAATAACTCTTTGATTGGATGAATCAGTGCTATTGGTTAAGTAATATTTGGAAATCGGCGGTAAATGCATATTAATTGAGTTTTATTTGATTTTTATTGAAAAAAAATTTAAAGATACATAATTCCTATTGTCAGCATTTATATGATATATTGTAGTTCCTTTTTGGGAAATTTTATGAATTGAAGCAGTTAAAACTACTTTGAAATTAGTCCACCTTCCACCTACAATTACTTTTAGATCGAAGAGATCTTGTTAGATTTCTATTGTTAGTTTTCATTCAGAAATACATACATATACCAGTCTCATACTAGTTTAACTATGACAAAAAAATGCTAAAGCTTTTGAACTAACCGAATGACTCTACTCCGTATATGTATGTATGTATAAGAGCTCAATATTTTGTTCGAACTTTTTCATACTGCTCAAACATTTGAGTAAGGAGGTACTCGCACACTCGTTCCTTGCTTGAGAATTTTCGAGCTCGAGCTCGAGCGTTTCGAGTTTTTTCGAGCATTTTTGAGCATTTTGAATAAAAAATTTGATATCTTTCCAGAACTTTCTTTTACCATTTTAATTTTATTTCTGCAAAATATAAAACTCCTTGAAATACTACAGAGATTTTGACAAACAAAATAGAAATTTGAAAAATTTTAAACTATCATTGAACAGTTGAACAACGAACGAGTATCGAACTGCTCACAGTGCTCGATACCCGGGTATCTAGAGCTTTAGTATGTATGTATGTATACCCAACAAATTTAATGTGAATTTTCAATGAGTAAATTGAGAGCAACACATATGTATATACATTATATATATGTATACTCGCAATTGGCCGCTGAAGCTATTTTCCGCCGAGCTCCTCCTCCAATTTGTGGTCTTGATGTCTTCCAACAAATGGACTTGTATGTGGAGCTTTTATTTTATGTCCGAATGTTATGTCCAGTCGAAGGCCTTAGCATTCCCCGCCAAGGGGCGAGTTCAATTGGGAGAATATTTTTGTTTTTAATTTTGGATCTTGATCGAATTAGAACTCGAAATCTGGCATTCCGAATGGCAATTCGCATTGCTACCTAGTCGACTATTGCCGCCGCTAAAATTACTCTAAGACAAGATCCTGCTTGTGTATGGTCTTGGGGTTCGATATATAAATGTGTCCTTAACATTAACAGCCAAGAAATGTGATGGATGTGACAAAACGAAAGGAGATTGACCTTTGGGAAACTTACTACATTGGTCAGATAATGGAGATAGATATATTCATAAAAATATTGCCACGTCTCGACTGCAGAGAAGAACAAGCTGTCCAAAGTTCTTTTCTATAAGTGCTGTAGTCGCCAGGTTGTCAAATAAGTGGTTGGCGGGGGACCAGGAGGGTGATCAAAGAAAATATTTACGACTCAATAGTTTGAAAATGTGGCCACCACAACAAAACTTCCTCACCGATTACGTTATGATAGACGGAACATGGTGAGTATTCTAGGTTTGTCATTAGCTCCGAAGACATAACATTGACTCAGACCACTTGTCACAATAAGGATACGCATTTGTCTCTGTGCAGCAATGGACTTCAAAAAACACAAAGAAGGTTCCATTTAGAAATACTGTATGACAACAGATAGTCCGATTATTATTCAATTGAGACATCATTTCAACTTACCTGCGTACCCCAGCTAGAGGTAGTGTGGGAAGAAAAAAAGAATGCTTACCCCTGATCGATTAGAACGCGCGCGGAGTGGGATAGATACCAAAAGCTAAAGAGGTAAGCAGGAAGAACTTGCAAACGGAAAGAGGAAATGGTCAATATTACGTGAGTATGAAGAGTTTGAGAAGCTGACTGACTAAAACGATTCTCAAAAAATATTATGCGATTTGGAAAGATTTCAAAACCGGAACTACTCTGTAACCATTGTGGTTATCTGGTGTCCGATGTCTACACTATACTTGGTTTATGGTAGGTACACCTATCATACTCCTTGAATGAGAAAATGAACCTGATTTCTTTATTGAAGACGATAAAATAGAAGTTTCGCCAATTGACCATGATGAAATTCGATTAGTGATTGCTTGCTTGAAGGTAAGCAAAGCGAAATGAAGCCGATGGCTCATTGGTTGAACGAATGAAATATGGTGGCAAAGTAGTAACAACGTTCACAAGTAACTGATAGCATTGATTTAGGTGTCTCAATGGACCCCAAGCTAGATTTTAGAAATTCTAAAAATGCTTTTACCAATAAGACAAAAAGCGTTTCGGCTTTCATTAAACGTTGGGCCAAATTGCTCTTTGCCTCACTTGTTAAACCCATTTTGGAAAATGGCTAAGTTGTATGGAGTCCGCACTATCAATTGTATAGTGCCAAAATGTAACCTTTACAAAAGCAATTGCTACTATTTGCGTTAAGAAATTTAAACTAGGCTGCGAATAAGAACCTGCCTTCGTAAAAAAGTCGTTTACTGCTCATTAATCTGCCTACACTCTATAGTCGTAGAGAGATGGTTTGAGTTTTATTTTTAATTAATTTGATAAGAGCTGTTATCAATAGCCCATTCCTACCTAACGCGCTGGACTTTACCATTTCTTTAGGATCTTCTAGATGCCTTAGACCGCTTTCATTGTGTTTATGCAGAACACACTTTCAAATACACTACCCTTTTAGAACTTTGTGTAACGATTTTAATATACATTTCCCCAACATTGATTCCTCTGACTTGCTTTTCTGTATCAAAATCTACTTACTAAGTGCTTTAAATAATTATTAGAATTAGAATAGAAATTATCCCTCCTCTTTTCCCATGCAATTTTATAGCAGCTGATGAACAAATCTGTAGCTGTTTAGTGTAAGAGGCAAGTGCAACTGCGATCTTTTCGAACAGTCTCAGGTTCAGGGCAATCCAGACTGTCACTGGTTTCGTAGTCAAAAAAGAAGAAAGAAAAAAAGATCGTAAAGATTGGATCATTAAGGTGGTCTGCTCAATCCATCAATCCATATGAGGGGGGAATCTCCACAGTTTGGCCTGTTAATTTTTGCATTATGGGGGTCTAATATCAATTGTATTTTCTTATCTAACGTACATATTTGAGAGTCTAAGAATGAACGGAACGGACTCTATCAGTTTTTTCCTTAACATCGAAAATGGATCAAATGAATAGTTCGTTAATCAGCATTGGCGATATTTATCAGTAAGATTTGTCTAATAAATTTTCTTGTGTTCAAGAAAAGTGAATTTAAAAATCTTATGCTACTTTGCAACAAACGAATGTACATATGTAACAAATATTTATGAAATCAATATAAAAAAAGAAATACCACTGCAAGATTTATCTTGAAATTCTCACGTGCAATCAGTGCAAATATTCACACCATTTCTCAGCTTCTGAATTACAAAATTGGACACAGCTGTGAAATTATCTATTTCCATACCTATTATTATATATGTATATATTGTATAATTGTGTAATGTAGAGACATATATTCACATTTATATGTAAAGAAATCTATGAAAGGCAACAAAATAATTTAATTCGGAATTTCAAATATCGGCAAGAACTTTGGGATCTCAAATAAAACACATTCGTCATAGTAGCATAGAATTGGGTTAAGGTGGATCTCATAAATATTACAGAAAGAAAATGGTTGGAAATATGAACACTTAAGTGTTTTATTATATTTTGCTACATCTTCAAAGTGTTAAAATTAAATTCAAAGCTAATGCCAAATTCAATAATAAAAAGCAAACCAAATTTTTGTGAGTACATGACATGGTGCAGGCACACAAATCAGATTTCAAAAAACTT